AACACATCCCAAGATGAACTTTTGTAACATAAAAAAATATGTTTATGAATAATAAACAATACACAGTTGAATGTTGAATTAAGAATTGACATCACAGCACTCGGGACACCTACATTAGCACTCCGTCCCCATCTTCAGCAGCAAGCAAAGGGTTAAAACTCTGATGGTACCAATATAAATTAATTAATCTGTTTTTGGCACACTTAGGTTGCACGTTCCTTGATCAGGAAATCCCTTCTACAATCAAGACCTTTGTGTGTGACCGAAGAGGCACAACGGATCTAGAGAAGACAACCTCGATAAAAAACCCTAAGCCTACGGTGGACCTATGTGCCTATGGGCTGAATGACTGTGGGTTTTACAGTCATGAACATGGAACGTCTGGTTAGTGGGTCGGGCGGTGACAGGCGTATGGACTCTGTCAGGACATCCCTTGCCTCTTCCCTAGCAAGCAGACAATACTAGGGTGACTGTTTACTTCCTGCATTGAAAGATTATTTTCTATGTATTTTGTATACAGTTTCAGAAGTCTATTATTGAAATATACACTGGACTTTCCTTAAACAAATGTGGCTCTTCCTCCTTGAATGTGTGGGTATATCATTGTTAACACACCCCAACCCAGTGCCAAAATGAACTATTGTGTGACACAGAACAAAAATGCTTGATAAATAAACAATAATATACACACTGTTTTATAAGTCTATTATTGTAATAAACACTCCACGTTCATTAAACAAACCTAGATTATCCATGTTGGTCATACAAGACAATATTGAGACAGTAAGTGTGTCAGCATGAAAGCATCTTTAGTGGGGACTGAATATGTACAAAGATTAAATAATTCTTCAAAAAATGACATTTGCTTCTTTGTAACTGTAGGGATGTTCGGTGATCTGGCTTCAAATATACTAGGTTATGACATTATGCACTGTTGTCCAATCTTTTTCTTACAAAAAACATGAGATATGAAATGTACATAGTTCAACCCCCTAGCTGTGTGTGGCTGAAAGGCGGATGTATCACAGAATCTTCTTCTTCGTGTATACCAGCTGTGAACTCTGGCAGAAAGTTCTGGTTGTCCATCCACTTATGGACTTCAGCCTTGTTCCAGAACCCGAGTTTTGTATGCACATCCGTTTTACAGACCCGGCTAATCTATATGCAGACTTGGTTCCCTGCCTCTCGGGCAGATGCACCATGACTTTAAAGGAAACATCCCTAACTGGTCGACTCTTACGATATGTTTGTTGTGGAAGTGCGGAAAGTGTGTCTATTCTTCACTCCCACAATGAGGCTACAGAACCCTTACAGAGAATCAATGAATATAAAGAAAAAAAATGAATAAAGAAAAAAAAGCCGCATTTCACACCAGTAGTACATCAGGCATAAGACAACGGACTCATATTTTTTCTAGACCAACTGGCATTCAATGGGGGATGCATTCCACATCCTGCTGGCCACCTTTATTTTCTAGGACACATTACCAGTACCCACTGTACACTGCAATGACCTGGGAGCCAAGGTCAATTAATTGTTCCCAAATCGGCCTGGTGCAAACCTGAACACTAGACCTTTAGACCAATGAAATATGCAAGGCAAATAAATTGTGCAAACTATTTTCTGTGCCATTATTTCAAGAATCTGTTTCTGTAACCTTGTTTTTACCTTGTTTTCTGTTCTATTCCATTTAACTTTAAGAATTGATATTTTTCTTAAGCTGCGTGAATGTGAAAGTATCTTGGTTTCCCCAAAAGAATCACAACTCAACCGGAGATTTAACTCGTTCAGTACAAAAGTTGGTTAGCTTCTCTTCTGAGAGGTGAAAAGTGAAATTAAGTGGTCTGCCAACAACCCCTAGAGCACCCAAGAACCCTAGCTCTCTTTCATGTAAGCTGGTAAACTGAAGCCATAAGGTTTTGAACTAACGGGGCAATAGCTCACCTGTGAGGACACTTTGTTCTTGCCCCACCATGTGTCGGGCCTAGCAAACTGGCTGTGCTGTAATCAATTGCTAATAAAATGAATTGTACACCCCTTCTTTATGCTAACAATGCTAAATATAAATATGGAAAATGAATATGGCATTAGTACAAAAAATAACTTTATGAGAAATATGCTGTCTCTGTAAGGTCGCTAACAACACTAGCAGGGAGATGGTTACTAATACCAGTATTAGAGAGACAGCTGGAATAAGACAGTGTCTGATAGATACGGACAGACAAAGAATCAAATGATTCAGCCATCTAGTGAGAATGCAACCAGACCAAATTGCATATGAGTTTTTTTTCCTTTCTTTTTTTTTAAAGTAGAACATCTGGGAGGAAGGTGTGGGGAAGACCAAGAAGGAGATGGATACATGGTGTAGATGAAATCTGCACACAAAAAAAAAACCTGAACACATCCATTACCTAAGCCATCTGAAACGCACAAGACAAAGACAGAAAACTATGTCCCTGGACTACAACCTGCTAACAGTAAGACCAAAGAAAAAAAAAAGGAAGTACCAAGCATATGTTACTTTTATTCATTGTATTCCAAGAAGTTGCTACTTTACATAATCAAAGTCTGGGTCCCAGTGGTTGAAATAATACTGCTTATGGGCAGCAGGAGTTAAAGTGGGTCGAAACTAGTATTATTTTCTTGCAGGAGATGTGGCTCCTAGTTTTTCAACTGTCCAAATGTGTGATGAATAATTTTGTGAGAAACCTTCACTTTCAGATATGTGGTTATATGTATTCTTGTTTGTAACCAAGGCAGATGTGGTCAAAGCCCTTTGGGAACAAGCAACGGAATCAGTAGAGAAACAAGATTATTATGGTCTGGAGAGAATGAGGCACCTGGATGTAACCAGAGGGTCTGGCCGGCTCACTACACTCAGAGGAAAGGCAAGACGGACATATAACCAGATTGTGACTGGTACCATCAGTATTGGAACTATGTGCTGGCTGCTGAAGATGAGGACGGAGCAAGCATGGGAATGCCCCAAGTGCTGTAATGTAAATTCTTGACCCAACTCTTGTTTGTAACCGCATCACTGCCACTTTGTGACATATGCTGATGACAGCTTTCTAGCCAAAACATTCATATGTCCTTCATGAGTGCGACAATATGAAACTGACTAGCTCTACTTCTGGGGTCTGATCTGATGTTTCAGGGAGTTAAAGTGGCAATTAGGGTAGAGTGGGTCAGCATAAAAACTGGATGGGTTAAAAGGAGTTTTAAAAAAGTGTAACAAAACAGTATGACAGTTGAAACCAACAAATGCATGACGAGTTGCCCCAGAACCACTGAATGGGTAGAATAGTCAATGATTGAAGATTTCTTCTGCAGCTATTGAAAAATTCATCACTATCATCATCATGTAGCAGGTCCTATGCAGTATGTCACTCTCATCATGGTCTGCCTGGAAGAAACTCGGGTCTCTTGCTAGCTCTCCTGCCTTGTGCATTTTCATACCCAAGGAATTACTTATATCCTGTACCTATCTTTGGGCTGGTCGGCCCTGCCCCTCTTTGCTGGTACCATGCCTTCTGCTATTATTGTTTCTCATAATTCAGTTTTAGAGAAACAGTGCTGTTTACTTGCCCATCCCCCTTATTAGGATGTCAGATTTCTCTTCTTTGTCCATGCCATTCAGAGACTCTTTCTACAGCATTTCAGCTCAAAAATGCTGATTTCCTTTGCTAATGACTGTGAGAAAATCCACGACTCATATCCGTATGTTTTAAAGAGAAGTTGCAGGCTCTAACAATTTTGACTTTGATTTTTTTGCTGGTGCCTAACTATAAACATAATCCTGTTTAATCTTTGCACTGCAATGGCCAACCTCCTTTTGACTTCTGTCTCTATTGCTATTTATTTTGGGAAGATACAAGTAAAAATAATAAAAATTCTTCAATTCCATGGACAATTCAGTGTGCATAATGTAGGCTAAGCCGATATGGAGGTTCTGGTTAACTTGAAAAAAAAAAAGTCTGCTTTTACTCTTTTAGTACCAGAAGGTATTATTAGCTGATGTCTGAGTAGGGCAATAATGACAACAAAACTCACAGGTGTGCTAGATCAAAACAGGAGCCAAATACAAACTGAAGTAAAGGATTCTTTACCACGCTTTCAGGCAAACTGGGCATACAGCACCAGAGCTATATGTTGTAGACCAAGCAGAACTTACTGGAAGATGTGGTCAACATCACGCCGGCCGCCTTTACTTCTCAGGTTGTTACATCTTCTTCTGCCTTTCTAAACCCCTAATGGAGCATAGGCCCTCAACCATCTCACACCAACTCGTTTCATCTTTCGCTTTCGCTGGCAGTTCTCCCCATTTTTTTGTTTCAACTTCACTCTCTAGCTCTCTTCTCCATGTGTTTCGTGGTCTTCCTCTGCTTCTATGGGTACCAGTGCAAAGACTTTCTAGTTATACCGTTCTTAGGTTTTCTCAACTTGTGTCCTATCCAACGCCAGTGTCTTTCTTTGACCTCTTGGTTCACTGGAACTCGTTTAGTTTTCTCCCAAAGCTCTCCATTAGTGATTTTATCATACCATTTAATTCCCTTTATTCTGCACAGGCACCAGATCTGGGAGTAAAGGGCATTTTTGAAAACAGTCTAAATAGACAGACACTGCTTGTGGGAAAACAAATGTGTTGCTGAGAATGCTCTGATTCAGTGTACGACGTATTAACATACATATATATATATAATATTACCACGACCATATTAACATATCCAGTCTCACATGGGTGCACTGTTTTCGACCAAATGAGTTCATATAAATTCAAACCTGAGACCTTTGCGTTGCCAGGTAACCATTTATCTGCTGCTATCTCCTGTCCCAGGAATCTTGGGACATCAAGTTATTTTAATTTTAAAAAAAAATAATATTAATTTCTTTTCACAAAGCTAATTGTCAGATGAAGCAAATATGTGTATTATCCCAGGCTGCAGAGTACTTGAAACTGTAAAATGTATGGTGCCTACACACAGTTTGAATATGAGACATCACAACATCACAAATTCTTCAGAATCATTGGAAAATGTTCGGCGTCTCTGCCCATTCTGGTCCATATGGTAATGGGTCAATCGGACCCTCCTGTCAACAGTAGGATAAACTTGCTTCAAAGAAGACTCATTCATGTGCCCATCTGCAAAGATGAACAGAGGGTAAGCTCCCTTCTCATCTGGTGGAGACGCATACTGAAAATAAATTATTATATTTATTAGAAAAGGTATATGTTCAAATAGAGGAGAGAAAAGGATGAGGAGGAGAAAGACAGAAAATAAAAAGAAAAGATGGAGATACTATCACAATGTGAGATATAATTTTTTTGTGTGTACAAAGATGAAGACAGGGTAGGCTCCCTTTTCTCATCTGGTGGAAACATACTGAAAATAAATTATTATATATATCAGTAAATGTATAGGTTTGAATAGAGGGAAGAAAAGGAGGAGGAGAAGAGAAAGAACAAACAAAAAAGAGGGAGCTTGGGTCATGATGAGAGATATACTTTTGCAGACTTACGGAAACCATGACAATGGGATTCGTCTTCTTCTTGTGTCCGCTTTATGATTTACACTGACAGACAAATTCAGGGGAAATAGAGAAAAGTGTTGTGAATGTTTTGTCTGTGTTGAAGGCAACATGTTTTGTCTGTGTTAATGGAAACATGTTTGTCTGTGTTGATGGAAACATGTTTGTCTGAGTTGAAGGCAACATGTTTGTCTGTGTTGAAGGCAACATGTTTGTCTGTGTTGATGGAAACCTGTTTGTCTGTATTGAAGGCAACATGTTTGTCTGTGTTGAAGGCAACATGTTTGTCTGTGTTGATGGTGACATGTTTGTCTGTGTTGATGGAAACATGTTGTGTCTGTGTTGAAGGCAACATGTTGTGTCTGTGTTGAAGGCAACATGTTGTGTCTGTGTTGAAGGCAACATGTTTGTATGTGTTGAAGGCAACATGTTTGTATGTGTTGAAGGCAACATGTTTGTATGTGTTGATGGCAACATGTTGTGTCTGTGTTGAAGGCAACATGTTGTGTCTGTGTTGAAGGCAACATGTTGTGTCTGTGTTGAAGGCAACATGTTGTGTCTGTGTTGAAGGCGACATGTTTGTATGTGTTGATGGTGACATGTTTGTCTGTGTTGAAGGCAACATGTTTGTATGTGTTGAAGGCAACATGTTTGTATGTGTTGATGGCAACATGTTGTGTCTGTGTTGAAGGCAACATGTTGTGTCTGTGTTGAAGGCAACATGTTGTGTCTGTGTTGAAGGCAACATGTTGTGTCTGTGTTGAAGGCAACATGTTTGTATGTGTTGAAGGCAACATGTTTGTATGTGTTGAAGGCAACATGTTTGTATGTGTTGAAGGCAACATGTTTGTATGTGTTGAAGGCAACATGTTTGTCTGTGTTGAAGGCAACATGTTTGTATGTGTTGAAGGCAACATGTTTGTCTGTGTTGAAGGCAACATGTTTGTATGTGTTGAAGGCAACATGTTTGTCTGTGTTGATGGAAACCTGTTTGTCTGTATTGAAGGCAACATGTTTGTCTGTGTTGAAGGCAACATGTTTGTCTGTGTTGATGGTGACATGTTTGTCTGTGTTGATGGAAACATGTTGTGTCTGTGTTGAAGGCAACATGTTGTGTCTGTGTTGAAGGCAACATGTTGTGTCTGTGTTGAAGGCAACATGTTTGTATGTGTTGAAGGCAACATGTTTTGTATGTGTTGAAGGCAACATGTTTGTATGTGTTGATGGGCAACATGGTTGTGTCTGTGTTGAAGGCAACATGTTGTGTCTGTGTTGAAGGCAACATGTTGTGTCTGTGTTGAAGGCAACATGTTGTGTCTGTGTTGAAGGCAACATGTTTGTATGTGTTGATGGTGACATGTTTGTCTGTGTTGAAGGCAACATGTTTGTATGTGTTGAAGGCAACATGTTTGTATGTGTTGATGGCAACATGTTGTGTCTGTGTTGAAGGCAACATGTTGTGTCTGTGTTGAAGGCAACATGTTGTGTCTGTGTTGAAGGCAACATGTTGTGTCTGTGTTGAAGGCAACATGTTTGTATGTGTTGAAGGCAACATGTTTGTATGTGTTGAAGGCAACATGTTTGTATGTGTTGAAGGCAACATGTTTGTATGTGTTGAAGGCAACATGTTTGTATGTGTTGAAGGCAACATGTTTGTCTGTGTTGAAGGCAACATGTTTGTATGTGTTGAAGGCAACATGTTTGTCTGTGTTGAAGGCAACATGTTTGTATGTGTTGAAGGCAACATGTTTGTATGTGTTGAAGGCAACATGTTTGTCTGTGTTGATGGCAACATGTTGTGTCTGTGTTGAAGGCAACATGTTTGTATGTGTTGAAGGCAATATGTTTGTATGTGTTGAAGGCAACATGTTTGTCTGTGTTGAAGGCAACATGTCTGTCTGTGTTGATGGAAACATGCTCTTATCTGCCCATATTATTAAAAGATCTGCTGCTCGCTGCATTCTTAGATTTGCCACTGTGGTATGTTCATCAGTACACCAGAGTGCACAAAATTATCTGCATACAGGGCAGCCTTCACTCCTGGAGGGAGGCCCTTCACCAGGTCACTGATATAAACAAGACACTGGGCTATAACCTGGTATCAGTGAGATAACAAAAGAAGAAGGAAGAAAGAAAGAAATACTGAAACCAACAGTTACTATGAAGAAGGCAACAAATCTGAACAGAAACGTGCAGAAAATATGGGATAAAACAAATAACATACATGGGTGACATAATTTTAACTCTACCTGTGTAACCTGCTGTACAAAATGCTTGAAATCTTGTTCATCCTTGATGTAGAACCCTACTGTACAACTGGGATCCATCTTGGTAATGGCCAGCCTCCTTGGAGTCATGCAGTGGTAAGTCTAGCAGATAACAATAAAATAAAATAAATATGAAGAGGAACTGGACACTAAGAAGAGTCCTAGAGTAAAAACAAAAGTACTCCATGGGTGATGTGGTCATCATCAACCAGCCTCTTTTACTTATACACTATTCAAATTAAAAAAAAAATGATGATGAGCCATAAACACAGTGCAAGTTTTACTTTTAAAATAAAATGCAGGTTTGTAGAAATAAGTATTTTTTTGGACAGTAATTATATTCAAAATTGGTTCTATGCATTAAAAGGATCCTTCACTTTACTTACTTTTACATCTCCCGTCCCATGTTGTTCATGCAGACCCTCTTCTAGGACCACTGTTGCTATCTCAGGTTGACAAGTTTCTTCTTAATCACCCAGCTCTTAACCTATATTCCATAAGTATTCCCATCTGGATTGTTTCTATCCATGTAACACAATCTATGACATCCTGGTAGCATGAATCCATCTTAAACATACATCTTTATACTGTAGTAGAGTACGGTAGATTGACCCCAATATTTTCTCTAACTTAAACATACATCTTTATACTATAGTAGAGAACTGTAGATTGACCCCAATATTTTCTCTATCTTAAACATATATCTTTACACTGTAGTAGAGAACTGTAGATTGACCCCAATATTTTCTCTATCTTAAACATACATCTTTATACTGTAGTAGAGAACTGTAGATTGACCACAATATTTTCTCTATCTTAAACACACATCTTTATACTGTAGTAGAGAACTGTAGATTGACCCCAATATTTTCTCTATCTTAAACATACATCTTTATACTGTAGTAGAGAACTGTAGATTGACCCCAATATTTTCTCTATCTAAATCATACATCTTTATACTGTAGTAGAGTACTGTAGATTGAAGCCAATATTTTCTCTATCTTAAACATACATCTTTATACTGTAGTAGAGTACTGTAGATTGAAGCCAATATTTTCTCTATCTTAAACATACATCTTTATACTGTAGTAGAGTACTGTAGATTGAAGCCAATATTTTCTCTATCTTAAACATACATCTTTATACTGTAGTAGAGTACTGTAGATTGAAGCCAATATTTTCTCTATCTTAAACATACATCTTTATACTGTAGTAGAGTACTGTAGATTGACCCCAATATTTTCTCTATCTTAAACATACATCTTTATACTGTAGTAGAGAGTAGAGAACTGAAGATTGACCCCAATATTTTCTAACCACATGTAATTCACCACAGACAATGTCGTTAGGCACTCTATCTTTCTCTATCATTTGAGTGTGTCCCAGTACTACACACAATGTACTTAGGAACTGGATCTTTCTTTATTATCTGAGTGTGCCCTAGTACTGCAGACAACGTCCTTAGGCACTCTATCAATGTCTATCATATTAGTGTGTCCTAGTACTGCACACACTGTCCTCAGGTACTATCTTTCTCTATTATCTGAGTGTGCCCTAGTACTGCAGACATGGTCTTTAGGCACTCTATTCTCTATTGTGTGAGTGTGTCCTAGTGCTGCAGGCAATGTCCTTAGGCACTCTATCTTTCTCTATCATGTGAGTGTGTCTAAGTACTGCACACAATGTCCTAAGGGGCTCTATCTTTCTCTATCATGTGAGCGTGTCCTAAGGCTGCAGGCAATGTCCTTAGGCACTCTATCTTTCTCAATCCTCTAAGCATGTCTTATTACTGCAGAAAATGTCCTTTGGTACTCTTTCTCTATCCTTTGAGCATTTACTAGCCAAGTGAGAACCTTGTACAAAAGATAAAGAGTGAGCAGTAGTGTAATGACCACATGTTGCCTTCTTGGCCTGCCTTGTTTACTTTGAAGGAAAAAAAACACCAGCAATTTAGGAAAAAAGCAGGCTGCAAAAGCTGCTGGATCAGCAGAACACATTAGTGCTTTATCTGACCATCTCTCATAGCTTCCCTCTTAGATCAGCTGACAACCACAGCTAAGATACTTTACACGTGTATGACTTCTTATAAAATATATATATATATGAATATGTTTGAGATTCTGGCCCTTACCTCTATCCTGAAATCTGAGCTAGTTGTATCCACTGCTTCTCTGCACAAATGAGGGTCTAGGTAGATAAGTTTATCATCTGTCAAATACAACAAGAAATTATTTTTAATTTAAAAAAATTGAAAGAAATTCTGGGACCTCATTCTCAGGAAAACAGAACCGTATCACTGCCTCCCTAACAAGTATGTAGTTAAGGTGACTAATTAGGGGTGTTTCCTTCGAAGTCATAGTGCATATGCCTGAGAGGCGAGGAACTGACTTATGCATACAAATAAGCCAAATCTGTAAAACGGTTCAGAATGCAAAACCGAAGTTCAGAAGTAGATAAACAACTAGCACTTTCTTTCAAAGGTCACAGAAGGTAAATGAAAAGAAGAAAAAGATAGTAGTGAAAGTTTATGAAAACATCACATACTCTACACTTGTAGAGACCGTATCTCTATTTCCTTAGCTCTTCTTCTTCTTCTTCTTCTTCACGTTCACTGGCTGTAAACTCCGGCAGAAAGTTCTGGTTCTTTGTCCACTTCTGGATTTGAGTCTTGTTCCAGAGCCTGAGTATTGCATACAGGCCCATTTTACATATCTGACCTATTTGTATGCAGACTGTTGGTTCCTGCCTCTCAGGCAGATGTACTCCAACTTTGAAGGAAGCCTCCCACTAGTCGACTCTTGCAACATGCATGTTGGGGAGGGGGGCAGTGGGTGGTCTTGCTTTCCTCAAAAAAACTATCTTATATTTACATATTGTTGCATGGAGGAGGATAACCAGGAAAGGAACGGAATAACTAGGAAGGGAACGGGATAACTAGGAAAGGAATGGGATAACCAAGAAGGGAACTGGATAACCAGGAAGGAAACGGGATAACCAGGAAGGGAACGGGATAACCAGAAAGGGAAAGGAATAACCAAGAAGGGAACAGGATAACCAGGAAGGGAACAGGATAACCAGGAAGGGAACAGGTATAAAGGAGAAAATTATTGCAGACATGTTAAGGACTGAGTATCTAAACAGAATCATGTTAAATACAAGCAACGGAAACAACAGATCTGAAAGCCCAAGCTTAATGCAAGTGGGTCTTGCACACCCGTCATCATTATGGCCGTGATTCCCAGTCCTCCTTATAGAACAGTACAAAACTTTCATCTGCAAAGATGTAACGCTATATTTATACATGCTGAACCATAAACATTCTTTTGTGGGAACACTTTCTACTTCTGAAAATGAGCTTCATGAGTGGCTTATTTGGCATGCTCTTTTCAATTTAGGTGCTTTATGAATATATTTTTCCAAACAGGGGAAATACACAGGTAACGGGACACTCTAATATTTCAGGGGTGGTAGATAGGCTGCATGCAGTCGTGGGACCTAGGCTGCACTCTCTTGTGGGATGTAGGTGGGTTGGGGTTAGGGCTAGTTCTAGATGTTTTGTGGTCGATAAAAGCATCAGAAAGTTGGGAAACCCAGTCTTACCACCCTTGAAAATGCTGGACTGTCCTGTGATGTCATCTGGGGTAGGGTATTAATAAAGAACCTCAATTTGCATCTGCTGTTTGCATCTTTAGTACTACTGCATTTTCAATTTCACCACTGACAATTTTTTACTGATATGTTCCTCTGTCCGCTTCTTCTTTAGTATTACTGTTTATGCAATAAAGAGTTACAAAGGAGCTAGATGTAGTTTTCTGTCTTTTACCATCGGGACTGAGCCTCGAGAGGCAGGGGGTAAGAAGTGTTGGTGTTGTGGGTAGTGGGTTCCCCCCCCCTTACTTCACCCTAGGTCTAGTGAATATCTGTTCACGAAAGGAGCGTCCATTGTGGTGTCAGCCTCTTGACCTAGCAAAACCTCTCTTACCTCAAGACCATTGTGCGTGGCGAAGAGTCACAGCCTCCCCGAGGTAGTCCCGGTAACTGGGGGTGCGAATCCCCAGGCAAAACACAATGGATCTAGAGGAGCAAACCTCGATAATAAACCCGGTGCACCACACCGTACTGTGCCCCTGTGGGAGGGAAGGAGCCAGAGGTGTGCTGAACAGTCTTAGGAATGGAAACAAGTATGCTAACCCCCCTGAATACCGGAAACTATCGTGAAGGCACAGGGACTCAGGACGTGACGATCCAGTTGCCCCAACTACTCATGCTTAGGCCATGCTTAGAGACATGAAGAGCTCAGCGAAACCTGCAGGCAATCTGGTGGCGGGGAATGAGCACACTGTGAGCCCCACCTTAGCTACGTGTTAAAGGGAAAGGCAGAAACACAACCCATATTTCCCTTAGAACTGGTACAGGGCATTTCTAGCTGCTGCCCGGGGAGGTAGGTAATCCACAGACACCCCAGCACCACAATGCCATGAATATGTCTTTTACCATCCATGTCTGGTAGTGAGAGACCAAAGCTGGCACAAACAACTCTTTTATCGCCTCTTTTGTGTGTGTGTACATGTTGATAGTTCCATGTCTCAAAAGTGGCGGCTTGAGAATCAGCTGTACACACACGTCGTCATTGTAACTGACTCACAGAGCATGCTGAGAAAGGTGGAGACAGGCATGCTCCATGCAGAGTGGCAAGCATCACTTCAGAGGTCCCGGGCACTTTGTATCTGTTGGATATTTTCTCCACGTCATGCCGGTGTGTTGGGAAATGAGCAGGCAGATAGACTAGGGTTCTGCACCACGTGGTGGTGAACTGATGTACGACAAGGTGGATGTTGTAAGGGCCCTTTAGGAGCGAGTGCACAGTGCAGAGGAACAGAGAGATCGTTACAGTCTGAGAAGAATGGCACTACGAGAAGTTACAAGGGGATTTGGCCGATGCTCGACACTCAGGGAACAGGCGAGACGGATACGCAATCAGACAGTAACTGGTACCATCGGAATTTTAACTCTTAGCTTGCTGCTGAAGATGGTGACGGAGCTCAACTTTCAACATTCAAAAGTGCTGCTATTTGGTATTTATGTTGTTGGCCTTCTGGATTGTTTTCTTTTTCTCTGACACTGCCCAATCCTCCATCCTCAGTAAATACATTATCTGCACACTTCTTCTTCTTTCGTTCGCCTGAAATAAGTTGTCTATATCAGCAGTTTTGTCTCTTGTATAAATTTCACTGTCGCTGTTAGTTCATTCAGTGGTCCATAGAGTTTACGTTCCACTGTTGTTCTTTCTGGCCAAAAGGTTTGCCTTAATGTGTCAAAATCGGTGCAGTCCTGGAGTACATGCTCTGCTGTTTGGGGCACATTTCCACAGGTGCACATGGCTGATACACCTATCTTGAATTTTGTGTACATGTGGTTACGTAATAGGTTGTGCCCTGTTCTGAGGCGGAGGATAATGACTTGTTCTGGTCTGTCCATAATAAAATAGTTGTCTTGTGCTGGGGCTGGCGGTTTCCTGATCGATTTAATGATTCTTTTCTTTTGGTGGTATGTTACTGGTACATCCGGCTGCTCTTTTGTCACACCTTTCCCTGCCAGTTGATCAGCTTTCTCATTTCCAGGCACTCCACAATGAGACGGTCTCCACTGCATTACGACTCTTCGCTGAACGCTGAGTTGTGTCTGCAATTCTGGTAGTTTCCTAGACTGAAGTGCTTCAAGTACTGATTTAGCATCTGTCAGCATTACCACATACTGTGAGCCAAGGTTGGTATTTAGCAGTTTCTCTGTAACTATCTTGATAGCCTGGGTTTCTGCATCGTAGTTATGGCAGTACTTCCCGGTTGGTAAGCTGGACTTATCCCTAGTACCATCTGGGAATTCGATGTACACTCCAGCGCCACCATTTCTAATTGCACTTTCTGCGGACCCATCTGTATACACTCTGACCCATTGTTCTTGTGGGTATTCTTCATCAATATAACTGAGGGTGGCCATTCTGCGTTGTACACTATCTTGCTCTTTCTTGTCAAATATCCCTTTCACATTTGTCTGGATTTGTACCGCTAGTTTACATTTTTCTCTCCATGGGGTTTGTTCCGGAATACTTTTAAGTGGGCAACCAATTTTTGGAAGGTCAGGAGTTCGTCTACATATTCTTTTTGCTTGGTGTATAAAGCTGCTTCTTTTTAACCGTCCCAAGGCTAGGTTCTTAAATCTATTTTCCATCGGGTGATCTGGCATACTGAGGAACTTTTCAGCTTGTATTTGCAACTTTGTATCTCTGCGTTCTCTCAGTGCCTGTGTTTTCCCAGCTTTCTCCATTTCTAATATGGAGGTTGATTTCATCCCTCCTGTGATGACTCTGAGCGCTTGATTTTGCACTTTGTCTAACTCCTTTAATGTGGTACTAGATGCTGAATACCATGCAGTTGACCCATATTCCAAGTGTGGAAGTATGCTCTGCTTGTATACTTTATTGAGTATTTTCCCATCGGCTCCCCATGTAGTTCCATTTAGTTTTCTTAGTATTGCTGTCTTCCTCCTGGCTTTGGTTGCTGCCTTGTTGATATGTTTTCTCCATGTCAACCTGTCATCAAATGTGACTCCTAGGTATGTGGGCTCTTTATCATCTCTCAGGGGTATTCCGTTTATTTTGATGGTGCCGGCTTTTTGCTTTGGGGAGAGGGTGAATAGTGTGGTGCTATATTTGTCTGTGTTGATGCTGACACACCATCTATTGGCAAATGCCTCAAGTGCATTTGTAGCCCGCTGTAGTGTTTTTGTGGCTATCGTTGCATGTTCATTGGTGCACCACAGTACCAGGTCGTCGGCATACATTGCCATTTTGATTCCATTTGGTATCTCAGCAACCAGATCGTTAATGAATAAAAGGAAAAGTGTGGGCGACAGGACACCACCTTGAGGGACGCCTTGTCGCAGTAGAACTTTTTAACTTTTAAAACCATCTACCTGTACCCGGGCAATGATGCACAATACAAGACTCTTAATGTCTATTAGCCTCTCTTGCTCAAGCCTACCTCACTTTCACGTGGTGGACACTGTTCTTCCCAGCAATCCAGTTGAAGGTTGGGGTCTCAACCCCCAGCGGGAAACTGGATGGGACAACAAACGAGGTAAAGGCGAAAGACGAATGGATGAGCCTACTCTCCTCGAGTATGATCACAGTCTACCCTAGCAAAACAAAGTTCTGAAGTCGGAGGCAACCAGCCAAGAGGCGCACCACAGCAATCAGGATGCCACGCATACACGCCATGGAAATATGTCTATATCAGCAAAACGTTATGGTGCTCGCCCTGTGATGGACCTGCACACTTAAAACTATTACTACTTCCTGTATTTACCATGTTTCAGGGTGGTACAGGCAGGTTTGTTTCTTTAGCTTCAGGATTTATGACCTTAAGGATTTTGCTAGACCTTAAGGATTTTGCTAGAGCAGTCACCACATCAGATTGTACAGATAATTTTTTTTTTTGGTATTCACACAAAAAATCCATAACCTAACCAAGGATTCCAGCATGAAAGCCCAGTATTTTTAATACGCCACTACTCAGTCGGGACACTCATCATCATCATCATGTGCTCTGCCAGCTGGCGTAGGCGCTCATGCATCTCCACAGATCACGATCCCTGGTTGCCTGGAACAGCTCTCTTGATGATATCCCTCCATGCTATCGTTTCAGACCATCCAGCATCATCTCTTTTTGGCTGCCTCTATCCCTCTTTCCACTGATCTTTCCAGTTTTCCAATGCCTCTCTTCGCGTTACGAGGCCAAAGAACAGTGTTTGTCTCCTCCGTATTGTTGTATATAGAGATCTACTTTCATTAGCTTCTTTCAAACATTCTTTGTTAGTTACTCTGGTCGTCCAAGGTGTCTGGACACTACACTCATAAAATTCAACCTTTAAATCTGACTACCTATAAAGCCTGTGTACCATACACCTCTGCAAATTATAGTCAAGATTTGCTGGTAAAAACAAGGGTGTTTTATTGATATCCTACCCCCAGATGACGACACAGGACAGTCCAATATTTTCAAGGGTGGTAAGAATGGGTTTCCAAGCTTTCTGATAGTTTTAACGACCCCAAAACATCTAGAACTGACCCTAAACCCAACCCACCTACATTCCGCTAGAGAGTGCAGCCTAGGTCCCATGAATGCATGCAGCCTAGGTCCCACGACTGCATGCAGCCTATCTACCACCCCCTGAAATATTAGACTGTCCCCTGACCTGTGGATGTCCCCTGTTTTGGGTAGGATATTAATAAAGCACCAAAATAACTGACACTATTCACAGACTTACCTTGCCAGCCAATAAAATACAAGGAATGTTTAGGTTTTCCACCAATGATACCCATGCAGTTTTCTTGGGATAAGAGCTGCTGGACACAAGGAATATAGATCTCATTCATCGTTTCTCCTCCCAGGCGGATCGGTATTAGAAGTATTAGAGATCTCTGCCATTTTTCAGTCTAAAATTCAAAAGAAAGTTTCCATCATTAGCAAAGTACGAGGGCTATTTCAAAATCAACCTTTGATTAGCCGGCAAAAAAAAAAAACATTTGCTACAGCAACACCATTAATTGCTTGCATCATTCTGTAGCTTTTTAGCTCACTTCACACCAACCTACAGTTGCATTCGTTCAGTGGTGCATGAACCGTGAACGAATAAACATCGACACTATCACTGCTTGTCCCACCAGATGTAAAATTCATGTTGGCATTTGTTTCTTAAAACAGAAGATCAAAATGCTCAGCTCAACAATATTACAATTGCTTTACACTGGAACCCACAAGGGTATAGAAAAAAGGTAGGCTGAAAAAAAAAACAAAGATGGAAAAGGACAACTACGGAGTGAAGTTTTAAAAACAAAATGGGAAAGGCATGGGGTGAGCCGCGTGTGACAGATATAATAGGACAATCTGGCGTGAGTTGGTTGAGGGCCTATGCTCCACTGGGGAAACAAAGCACAGAAGAAGAAGACTGTCAGCAGCAGCAGTTGGCTGACTGGTTGAAGCACTGAGCTCTCAGGCAGGAGACCCAGGTTCGATCCTTGGTAAGAAAATGAAGATGTTTTATGTCGGGGGGAGGGCGGGGGTGTGTGGTGTGAAAAAATATCATAAACTGCAGTTTCTTCTTCTTCTGCCTTTCTATCCCCCAATGGAGCATAGGCCCTCAACCAACTCACGCCAAGTCGTTCTATCCTTCGCCATTGCATGGAGCTCTCCCCATGTCCTCCCAATCTTTCTAACCTCATTCTCCAGCTCTCTTCTCCATGTGTTTTTTGGCCTCCCTTTATTCCTATGCCCCTGTGGGTTCCAATGCAAAGACATTCTAGTTATGCTGTTCTCCTGTTTTCTTAGTGTGTGCCCTATCCAACGCCAGCATCTTTTCCTCACCTCCTGATCCACTGGAGCCTGTTTAGTTCTCTCCCAAAGTTCTACATTAGTTATTCTATCATACCATTTTATTCCCTCTATTCTGCGCAGGCACCAGTTAATAAATGTCTGTAATTTATTAGTAATTGCCTTGGTTGTTCTCCATGTTTCCGCCCCATACAATAGTACTGATTTGACATTAGAATTAAAAATTTTTTAGTTGAGTATTTCTTTTAATTTCTTTTGACCTCCTTTTGTATTCTTATTTTAATATCTCTATCAGTTCCTCCATCTTTATCTACATTACTGCCTAAATAGGTGTACGAATCCACGTCTTGGAGTGGGGTGCCATTAAGAGAAACCACATTACTATTTGCCTGATTTATTCTCATTATCTTTGTCTTTCCTTATGGATTTTCAGACCAAGCTGCTGTGATCTCGCATTAAGTATATTTAATTTATCTTGTATCTGATTCCGTGAATGGGACAGAAGAGCAATATCATCAGCGAAGTCCAGATCATCAAGCTGTTTTGTAGGGGTCCACTGAATTCCATTCTTGGTGTTAGCAGTTACTGTTTTCATAGTCCAGTCTATAGCCAGTAAAAATAAGAGAGGCGACAAAAGACATCCCTGTCGCACACCTGTTTTTATTTCAAATGCATTTGTTAGCTTTCCCTCATGAAGAACTCGACATTTCATGTCTTTATATGTTGCCTTTACTAAGTTGATAATTTTCTGTGGGATTCCATAGTGCCCCATCAATTTCCAGAGAGATTCCCTATCAACGCAGTTTATGCAGCCGTAAATTATCAGGACCAACACCTCCCCCCCCCCTCCACAAAGTGGTAAACACAAGCAATAAAGACAGTACTGTACGAACGGCAAAAAAAGGTTAATGTATTTTTCTTCTTGGCATTCACCGGCTGTAAACTCCAGCAAAAAGTTCTTGTGGTTCATTCACTTCTTGACTCTAATCTTGTTCCAGAACTTGAGTTCTACACGCACATCCATCCATTTTACAGATCTGGCTTATCAGTATGCAGACTCTTGGTTCCTCAACTCTAACGCAGATGCATTCTGACTTCAAAGGAAACTCCTAATTTAATGACATGCTTGTTGGGTAAGGCGGAAAAGGGGGGGGGGGGCAGTGGGTTGATTGTGCCCCCCCCCCTTTCCTTATTATAAGACCCCAAAACCCACATAAGCAGGTTAATGTATCCAAAACAAAACAGGTAAATAACTTACTCCCTGACATGAAGATGCTGCTTCAGAATCACATTCAGATGTACTGCCCACACTTTCTGATTGTTGTCTCTCTGTGCACATTTTGATGACATCGTCTATGTACACTGCAACAAGCACAGAAATGTCTGTTTAAAATAATTATCCTGTCTGTGTACTTATTGTGTATATGTATAGTAAATCTCAAAAACAACATACACCACAAATGTACAGTTGAGTTAACTCCTTCCAGAAAAAAAAAATCTTATGTTAAGTGAGCGACTCTGAAGAACTCTGAGAACAAATTTGTTCTCCGCAAGGGTTGTATATTTGGCCCCTCTGGAAGTAGCATACCCATGAGTTTAGTACTGCCATTCTTAACTCCCTGGGACATAAGCTAGGAGTTTGTCGGACTGAAAGAGTGAAGAACCAACATAGCAGCACTCGGGGCATTCCAATTAGTGCTCCGCCCCCATCACCAGCAGTCAGTGAAGAGTTCTATCTGTGATGTTACTGGCAGTAGTCTGACTATGCCGGTCTTGCCATTTTCCTGATTGTTGAAAGTCTGCCAGATCACCTGGTCACTCCTCACTGTACCATTCTGTTAATCTGGTAGGTAATCTTAGTTTCAGCTTTATAGCAAACGGGTCACCCCATAGTTGCTCTGCTTCTGTGCCAATGAAAAACACAGAATATTTATCACAGTCCCTTGTAGAAAGATTGACAGACTGCTGTCTCAGCATATGCACTAGCATACATTAAAAGCATATAGTAGCCATCCGAAAGGCTAACACACAAATACAGTTCATCATGGATGGTAGCAGAAGTCACCAACAGATCAGCAGTTGCACATGCGATCAAATTTAATTGCATAATGGCACAACCAATATTACAACAACAGACGACAGGCATCGCACCATTTTCTGAATCTACAAATCACACCCCCATGTCACAGTAGAAAAACATTCCAAATTAAATCAGCAGCTCACAGTGTCACAAAATGCACTCAACTCAGAAGCTGGGTGACGAAACTATCCTTTCAGTCTACAAATGGAGTAAAAATGCATCGGCCACCATCTGGCAGAAGCAAAAAAATGTGCCACAGCTCACAACAGTGACCGTGCCTAGCGTCCATTTTGACCGGAAAGCCTTCACCACTCTACAACAGTAAAGACAAAAGGAGTCTCCGATGCAAAATGGTTGGGTAAATGCTTCATATTTTTTTTTGGTTTCATTTTGAACATGTTCTGTTTGCTAGTGCAGGTGTTTTATAAATGACCTGAGGGGTCATTGTTGAGTGTCACAGAGAGAGTGAGAGGGAGAGAATGTGTGGAAGAGTGTGTCTGCAGGACAGTGAAAAACGGTGAATGTGTGAAAGTAAGGGACAGAGAATGAACTAACATTTCAGCTTTGATTATATCTGTATATGTCCTTTTTCTTATACATTTGCCCATAACAGGTCAGTTGGCACGATGTGTTGTGGTTTAAAGCTAGACTGCAATATCTGCACCTTTTAGCCCTACCCAACCATCTCTGACTTCAGCAAATCCCTAATCATTCATCTTTTATGACATGCTTGTTATAAAGTATCAGAGAATCAGAGGGTCTAATCTTTCTTTTGTCGCCTCACTAATATCAGGCTGAAGCCCAGTGTCGTGGTTTTGTCATCTCACTGATACCCGGTTGTAGCCCAGTGTCATGGTTTTGTCACCTCACTGATACCAGGTTGTGGGCCAGTGTCATGGTTTTGTCCTCTCACTGATACGAGGTTGTAGCCCAGTGTCATGATTTTGTCATCTCACTGATACCAGGTTGTAGCCCAGTGTCATGGTTTTGTCGACTCACTGATACCAGGTTGTGGGCCAGTGTCAAGGTTTTGTCGACTCACTGATACCAGGTTGTAGCCCAGTGTCAAGGTTTTGTCGTCTAACTGATTCCAGGTTGCAGCCCAGTGTCATGGTTTTGTCGTCTCACTGATACCAGGTTGTAGCCCAGTGTCGTGGTTTTGTCGTCTAACTGATTCCAGGTTGTAGCCCAGTGTCATGGTTTTGTCGACTCACCGATACCAGGTTGTAGCCCAGTGTCATGGTTTTGTCGTCTCACTGATACCAGGTTGTAGCCCAGTGTCATGGTTTTGTCGTCTCACTGATACCAGGTTGCAGCCCAGTGTCATGGTTTTGTCATCTCACCGATACCAGGTTGTGGCCCAGTGTCATGGTTTTGTCGTCTCACTGATACCAGGTTGTGGCCCAGTGTCATGGTTTTGTCGTCTCACTGATACCAGGTTGTGGCCCAGTGTCATGGTTTTGTCGTCTCACTGATACCAGGTTGTGGCCTAGTGTCATGGTTTTGTCGACTCACTGATACCAGGTTGTGGCCTAGTGTCATGGTTTTGTCGTCTCACTGATACCAGGTTGTGGCCTAGTGTCATGGTTTTGTCGTCTCACTGATACCAGGTTGTGGCCTAGTGTCATGGTTTTGTCGTCTCACTGATACCAGGTTGTGGCCTAGTGTCATGGTTTTGTCCTCTCACTGATACCAGGTTGTGGCCTAGTGTCATGGTTTTGTCGACTCACTGATACCAGGTTGTGGCCTAGTGTCATGGTTTTGTCGTCTCACTGATACCAGGTTGTGGCCTAGTGTCATGGTTTTGTCCTCTCATTGATACCAGGTTGTGGCCTAGTGTCATGGTTTTGTCCTCTCACTGATACCAGGTTGTGGCCTAGTGTCATGGTTTTGTCGTCTCACTGATACCAGGTTGTGGCCTAGTGTCGTGGTTTTGTCGACTCACTGATACCAGGTTGTGGCCTAGTGTCATGGTTTTGTCGTCTCACTGATACCAGGTTGTGGCCTAGTGTCGTGGTTTTGTCGACTCACTGATACCAGGTTGTAGCCCAGTGTCATGGTTTTGTCGACTCACTGATACCAGGTTGTGGGCCAGTGTCATGGTTTTGTCGTCTCACTGATACCAGGTTGTAGCCTAGTGTCATGGTTTTGTCGACTCACTGATACCAGGTTGTAGCCCAGTGTCATGGTTTTCTGTATTTGTATTGTGCTTTTTGGGTAGCTTTGGTTATGGATTTGTTCATCTTTTTGCAGGTTTCAGCTACACCATCTTTCCATATCTTTCTTGGCCCATCTCTCGCCTTCCTCCCAGGTTCTTCTGTTGTTAAAAAGTCTTATATGCAGTCTGGTCTGGCTGCAGTCTCATTAAAGGGCTGAATCACTTCATTCTTTGTCTGTGAATACAATCCAGACATGGTCTTATTCCAACATTCTCTCTAATGTTGGTATTCTCAACCCTGTCTCTTCTTGTGTTGTTAGTGACCTTGCGGATTTCACATGTAGATATTTTCTGTTCTAGTACCTTATTATTGTCCATGTTTGGCATTGGTAACAAAAAGTAGGGATAAAGATGTCATAATCATTTGCTGTTTTGCTGAAAGGGAGACATTTTGGTGTCTAAGCAGTGGGGTTAGCTGGTCTGTACTCTGGCTTGGTCTAATCTTTTTTCCTCTTCCAAAATGAGACTGCAGAACCTAGACAGGGATATATCTATATGAAGTGTGAGAACCTTTTACCTGTACAGTCTTGAGAAACATAGACACACAGCTGACTTAGAACTGGGACTGTATGCCTGGCTTTGGCAAAAGCATCCCTGTAAAAATTACATAAAATTAGTGTCCAGTTGGGATCTCAGGTCTTGCATATGTTAAAAAAAAAAGCCTTCCCTATGCTAAAGATAGTCTTCCACTTGTTGAAAATGGTATTCCAGAAAGACAGTACCCCTTAAGTTAATGATATATTCTACATGCTGAAGACAGTATTCCATATGTTAAAACTAGTCTTGTTTATGTTAAAGATACAGGCTTCCTTATGTTTTCTATTGTCTTCCAAAATAAAGTTAATTCCTTGTGTCCTATAAAAGTTATTTGTGATTTACTAGATTCTATGTGTTGTGAACATGAATAATATGATTCATACATTTACTACAGTAAAACCTTGTTAACATGAACTCCCTTCAGAAAAACTTGCTTAACATGAACACAATTTTGGTACCTGCAGGGATGTTTTAGTAGCAGCTTTTAACACAAACTTTTAATTTTTTGGTCCCCAGAACTCTTGCTAACAAGATTTTACTGTATAAGTTTACAAACAAAAATTAAAGTTCTAGTGTGAAAATTATTACTAGTGGTATTAACAATACCCAGATAAAAAAGAAGGGAGCTTTGGCAGAAAATGAATACTTCACGCGTCTCCAGAAGTAGTTCAGTAACTATAAATTGGCCAGACCGCCTGCCAACATGTTTTCCTTAAACTATGGTTACAAGTAACCACAGAGAGAAAACTGAATGGATCATAATGGTGACGAACTGGCATGGCTTATGTACTAATGGAAGAAAGCCAAAAAGAAAACAGTTGATAGAGAAGTCTTGCAATCTCTCTGGCAAACCTCTACACCCCAAGGTAGAATAGAATCCGCTAAGTAAGTAAGTGAGGTATTAATGATAAAGTCTTCCATGAGTTAATGCTTAAGTCCCCTATTTTCCATGAGCTAATGATCAAGTCCCTTGTCTTCCATGAATTAGTGCTTAAGTCCCCTGTAAAGCTAGAATTAAAATGTCTAAGTTTGGTGGAGTTACATCTTGCTCACCTGAAAATGTACGCTACTGATGCTGGTCCATACCATTCGCCAGGGTCTTTGTTGTAAGCTCTGCCAAAACTGGCCAAATGATGCAAGCAGAATGGAGTCTTGTCTGATGGAGTATCAATGGGATCAGAAAACCACCGTATTATCGCTCGGTAAAATGTGTTTTCAGCATCTGTCTGCTTGTCATACAGACGCCAATCTGAGGAGAAATCACACATTTTGTAAGAAAGAAATCACAAGTATCTAAACAGAAATCATAGTATTAGTTGAAACAATGAAAAATAATAATGCAAAAACATTTCTGGGTTTTAATGAAATCATTCATACACATACACACATACATATATATATATATATATATATATATATATATATATATATATGTATATATATATAGAGAGAGAGAGTAGGAGAAAACATCAACATCATGTGCCCTGCCAAGTGGCGTATGCGCTCATGTGTCTCCACAGATCACCATCTCTGGTTGCCTGGAACAGCTCTCTTGATGATATACCTCCATGCCATTGTTTCAGCCCATCCAGCATATCTTCTTCTTCACGTTCACCAGCTGTAAACTCTGGCGGAAAGTTCTGGTTGTTCATCCACTTCTGGACTGCAGTCCAGTTCTAGAACCTAAAAATTGCGTGTGCATCCGTTTTACAGATCTAACTCATTTGTATGCAGACTGCTGGTTCCTTGCCCCTTAGGCAGATGCACTCTGACTTTGAAGGAAGTTCCCAATTAGTCGACTCTTACGACATGCTTTTGGGTAGGCAGTGGGTCTACTCTTGTTTTTCCTATAATAGGGCCCCCGGAACCAGAATCCAGCATATAACTCAAAAACTATTCTTCTTCTCCAGCCCTGTTGTCTTTCAGTATCAGGCTTACAAGAGGCATCGAAATGTGTTATGTAGATGCTTGTATTCATAGCCTCAGATATTCCATCCATCGACCCCTAGCTCTGCATTCTAATAAGTGACACAGGGGGGGGGGGCTGTGTGGTCTCGAAGCATTGTGTCCGCATCGAGTGCTAGAGGTTACGAGTTCAATCCCCGTTAAGGGCTGGGATTTTTTTCACGTGGACTTGGGGCTTCTAGTAATATTCCTCCTGCTCTGGGTAGTGAGATCAGACACCCTGTGTGCATTGCTGCGCATGTAAAAAATTCCTTGGCCTTTGGAAATCAAAAAGAATAGCCCAACGGCAACATTTGGAGTTTAAAATCTACCCAAAGTATTTCAGGATCCTCGCCAGTGTTACAAAGCCTGAACTTCTTCGGACTCAAAATCTCAAACCTCTACTAAGTGACAGGGCTCTCTCTGTGCACTATTTGTGGTAGTCTTGACATATGTTCGAACCATCTGATCTGTTGTCTCTCAGTGTAGTTTAGTATTGGGTCCATCCTAACTTATTTCCTGAACAGTCACTTCTGACCTTGTCTCTGCTTAACTGCTAGTTATATTTAGTTCTTGTGTTATGATTTTTTTTTCTGCATATTTTAGTTAATGTCCACATTTGGCACTTGTAACACAATCATCATCATCACGTAGAGGGTCCTTTGCAGAACGTTGCTCTCATTACAGTCTGCCTAAAAGAAACTCTGTCTCTTGCCAGTTCTCCCACCTCATGAACTTTCACACTCAAGGAGTCATATCCTGTGCCCATCTTCGTGTCGGTCGGCCTCTTCTTCCTGGTACCATGCCTTCTGCTAGCATTTTTTCCCAATCTGTTGTGGCGCTTGATATGACCAAAATATTTCAGCTTTCGAGAAACAATGGTGTTTATTAGCCAATCTTCCTTGATGTTCAGATCTTTTAAAATGTCAATTTTTCTCATCTTCTTTGTCCAAGATATTCTGAGAATTTTTCTATAGCACAATGCTGGGTAAAATTACTGCATTGAACAGTGCTATTTTGGTGTACTTGTTTGTCGCGTGCGGATATGCGCTAAAACACACCAATTCTATACATAAAAAAATCGCTTGGCCTTTTGAAATTGAAAAGAAAAGCCTAACGGCAACAGCTGGAGTTTAAAATCTACCCAAAGTATTTCAGGATCCTCGCCGGTGTTACAAAGCCTGAACTTAGCAAAAAGGACGTCAAACAATATGTAATGTTGCTAAGGAATTGTAATCTAGGAGATTCGGAGTCGAAGGTTTGACTAAGGCGGACGTGTGGTCCAGCCTTGGTGTGGATCCTTGAGGCATTTCAATGGGGAGCCAGCCTTTACAGAACGAGGGACCTCTCAAACACTACAGTGTGATACATCCCCATTGTCATATTGTGTTTTGTCTCAATAACATGTTGTATATGAAGCATGTTCCAATTGGACCAGCCTTTACACATTTCCATGGGAAGCAAAGCCACTGAACGAGGAACCTCCCACAATCATATGTCAACTCTAACTCTGGACAAAGTTTCAATGTATCAAGTCACCATTACTGTCTGTACCAGTTTTCGTTGGATTTTGATCGGAATCAGGTCACCATTACTGTCTGTACCACTCATCGTTGGATCTATTTCCGGACCAAGTCACTACAACTGTCTGTACCACTCTTCGTTGGATTTGGATCGGAATCAAGTCACTATTACTGTCTGTATCACTCATCGTTGAATCTACATCGGGATCAAGTCGTCATTACCGTTGAACATTTTCTCTACTACTCACTATTGGACTTGTCACTATTATCGGCGTATTTTTCATCGCTAACATTGCGGTGTGCATTGTTGTCAAACTGTCTGCCACCCAATTGTAAGTCAATTGTAGTCATTGTAGTTTTTGCTGCGTTTGATAATTTAGACTTTCTCCTCCAGAGAACAAACGTGGCTTTCCGGTATGCAAGTCGGAGAGCAATTGGATCATTAATCGTTGCATGTAATCAAGTAAGTGGGAGTTTGGGCGGCGAGAGCCTTATTCGACATTTAAACTAGCTTACCACTAGAGTGACATATTGTCTCTGCCTCTGTCTGTAGCCAACTTCAACCTCGGAGTGGTCCCCATTATAACAGGGAGATAATTCATCTATTCGCGACTCTGCGGATTGATTTAGGCTAAAGTGTCTTAGTTCGGTCTCATCACGTCCTGTAAGTTCAGTTTTTATTAGTGCTATCTGGTGTTCTTTCGTCGATTTTCCCTTCTCTATTTGTTAGTACCACTGGTGTATTTGTTAAGTCATTTTTTTTATTATCGTCTGTCAGACTCGTCGCATTGTACATGTGTGACAGGATGCAGTATTCATTGTCCTGTGGCGTCACTTCACACCTATTTCATTATCATACCTATTTTGTATGCTGACTGTTATAGTGCTGAATTTTTTTAATGGAAAACATAGATCACATTTAGTAGCCTGTCGATGAAGAAATTCGGTGTATTAGTCGTTATGCGCACTTTGTGGAGAGAAGGCACAGAGTGCTCAGAATGTTATTAACCACTATGTTTGACAAGAGTCGACTGATTTGGCTGTGTGTCGAGAGACTGGTTGCCAGAGGGCAAGTCTCATCAGTTATCATTTATCGGTTATAGTGACCCAAAGGAAGGACACGTAACCAAGAAGAAGAATCTGTCCTGGGTGGCGACGTAGGAAAGCATAGGACCACTAGTAAAACAGGGTAGGGGATTATGAGAAGGCTACCGGTGACCCTAGTGTGGGGCCCCAGGCGGAAAGCGAATGTTGTGGACTCACGCCGAGTCGAGGTGAGGTGTTCTCTTTCATGTGACACAGCCTTGAAGGCATAATATAATGTATAAGAGGAGCTTTAGATGGACATTAGTCCGGTATCATCAGTTCTTTCCCATTGTCTCCTTTATAATGTAAGCGTAGTGTTCTTGTGGACAAAGTAAAATTTTAGACAAACACCAGCGGTCGTAAGTTGAGAGTGATTATGTGTCACGGATGGTGCTCTATTCATTCTCAAACTGACAGGTTCGCCGAGATAAAACAACTAGAGAAACACAGTAAGTGATTACTGGGTTATGGATCGCTCCACGTGTTAAAAATTTCACATGTTTTATCCCGTGACGTGGGAATTTTTCATCGCTGGAGGAGACATTGGTGTGGGTTGAACTTTTGACCCCATGGAACCAACATGGGGAAAGTATGATATAAATATCACAGTAAAGGACATTTTTCAAACCACTAGAGCATCTGGCATATGATGCTAGACTCATCTTTTGGGCTGCGTTAGCAGTCGATAGGAGGCTCACTTTCAAATGCAGGTGCGACTTGCTGCAGCCCACGGCCGGTGTTTGAAACTGGGCAGTTCCCGGGGGTTTCACCCAGCCTCTAGGATATGGGTACCAGAGTAGACACTCTGAGCTAAATGGAGGAACATCGCTGTAGCTAGGGAGTTACATGCGGACGGCGACACAGGCGGACAGTTTCTTATCAGCTGTCCGTACTGGTTGCAGAGCACTTATGGTATATAACCGTGTACAATGACACTGGTTCACATCTCCCGACTTTACCTTTAACTCATTTTTTGTATACAACTACTGACCCTCAATGAGTGATGTTAACATCACACCGGCTGCGTTATTTCCCAAGGATATTTCCTGGTACCCATTTAAGGCTGAGTTGACCTGGGATTCTCCAGTTCATTTTTTTAAAATATGAATCTAAAAAAAGAGAAGACATCCATTTTCTGAAGCGATAATAAGCACCATGTATCCAAGTCATAACCCAGATGGCTTGAAAAGGATAATTAAGTTAACTGCATGTTCTTTACAGGGCTCACCAAACCAACCTGAGCATTTACTAACTGCTGTGTGTCTTTTACTGGGCAATGTATTTAACATTCAGTAGTTTTTCTTTGTAATCCGAACAGTCTGATTTTCACAACCAGGGCTGCTAATGATGGGTTTTTACCCCCAGATCTGGGTTTTTAATTTGATGCCTTGGGTTCAAATTTTGAAATCTGGGTTTAAAAAAAAAATATATCCTTAAAATATTTCGTTTTGTAATTATAAAATTTGTTCTTTTTAACAATCTGTGTTTCTTTTTTTTTTTTTGTTCTTTGTCTGTGTACTGCTTGGGTTTTTGTTCAGCTTAGCTGGGTTTAAAAAAAAAAAACCATTGGCAGCCCTGGTCACAACTAATGCAAGCTGTCTGCTAACAAATCATCTGCACAGACCAAACTACAGAATGTCAAGTTTCTGAAGCTGAGTTCACAACATTAGCCAAAATGCCAGCTAAACTGGAAAAAGCATGTTTCAAAAAAGTCAATATATTTCATATAAAGGGGATTCAAATAAAATCACATTAATTCCCATGGCTTTTAAACTGGGAATATTTTAAAACACTCTGCTTACAGAACAATTAATTACAAACAGAAATGATCTGCAAACGAACCTCTTCCTAGAAAATGAGTCACTAAACACTGAGCAATCAGCATCTGACCAGTGCGGAGCATACAACCCCAGCCACAATCTGTGCTTAACTTGGTTCCAGGAATAGGGTAAAAGTTGCTCCGATATGTCAACCAGATACGACTGACAAAATCCATTAGGAACTGGTCTTCCGTGGTTGTGGTTTGATCTTTGTTAAAAATAAACAAACAAACAAACAATCAAACACCTGTACTTTAAAAATGCGTTCTAAAGCACTCCTAAGCATGCATAACAATTTTTTTCAATCTTTAGCCCCAGAGACAATTTTAGAACACATTTTTAGAAAAAGATAAGAACTCTCTGGAGTTGAGTTGAGTTGAGTTGAGCTGAGTCAAGAATTAACACCACAGCACTCAGGATATTCCCATGCATGCTCCGTCCTCATCTTCAGCAGCCAGCGCAGAGTTCCATACTGATGGTACCGGTCACAATCTGGTTATATGTCCGTCTTGCCTTTCCTCTGAGTGTAGTAAGCTGGCCAGACCCTCCCGTTACACCCAGCTGCTAAAACTCACTGGAATTCCTCCCAAACAAATAATTTGAATTTTTTTTTTTAATTATAATTTATTTTATAACATTTTAAAAAATGCTTCTGAAATATTAAGGGAGTTATCAGTCAACATACATGGTGTGATATACTAAATTGCATACATCTCCCTGGGCCTAAAGAATGTATAGGATGACTCACACTGTGGACCCAAAAAGAATTAAAAGATTAAGGCTACAGAAAATTAGGTCATTTTGTTTATAAATAACTCATCTATATGCTATTTTTAGTAAACATCTTCACGTCCAGGCCCCCTAAAGACTATGCAGGTGCAAACAGACCTCAATGCCGTTAACTAGGCCTCTTGTAAACAGGCCATAAAAGAAAAGTCAGGTAAATTGCACTTACGAGAATAAATCACAACCAGAAATGCACGGTTCATGGTTTAACATTGTGACAGGATTAACTCACAAGCAATAACATGGTAGTTTCCCTTAAATATCCACACCCATTTGATACTGAATGAGGTACACAGCTTCAAGCAATATTTTAAATTTTTCAGTACCAGAAGATTTTCCCATATTCTTTGGTCATCTGATGAGATGGAGAAAACTGGAGGGGAAGAGAGGCAGAGAGATAGAGAGACCACGAGAAAAGATGCTGGACGGTTTGACATCTTGGCATGGAGGATCATCATGGGCCCTAGCATTAGTCATATGGCCCTATATCCTTGTGCTCAAGACCCCTTGTCAGGTAAGTTCCATGTTAGTCTCCCCAGAACCTGTCCATATACACACTTGCTAACTTCTGATTGGTAGTTCCTCAGCCGCACGTCCTTCGCACACTGCTAAGGGGGTGTTCCACAATGCCGTTGATATCGCATGTTGTATATTTTAGCACGCCAGCGCCTTTAACACTACAAAAAACATGGACAAACTGGGTCTAACACACAACCCTACTAGAAAGTGCTGAAACCTATGTCACAGGCATTCTCTTTCTCGGAAGAAAATTTAAATGCAAAAAAAGTCAAAAAGCAAACAACAGAGCTGCACATCTGTACCCCCCCCCCACCCGACAGTAGACCAGTCCAACAAAGTTATCAATGGAGCGTGACCTACTTTGTTTGGGGAGACTAAAGTCGAACTAAATCCCTTGTCCTTTAGCACACTACACTAAAAAAAAAATTTGTGGTGGTACACAGTAAGCATGTTTATTTTTTTTTAATTATCAAACAGTATAGTAATATGTCGGCCGCTGACCACATCACCTATCTTGTGCAGATAGGTCTAGCCTTATATGCCCTATACGCCTAAAGGCGTGGAAAATAGTTCAAAAAGCGAGCATACCATCTTTCTTTCTGAAGTAACATTTGCCTAAAATGTAAAGAGGACTATCACATTTGAAGCTGGGTTTTGACTTGAATGTCCAACCTATGGAAACAAGTATAAGAAAAGTCATTGGAAATACAAATGTAATTCTAAATCATCTATGAAATCTTCTGTCACTGTTATAAATAGGGCTGTACCGAATATTCGCTTCGTATTCGCTTCGGGGCAGAATAGTGGACCTAATGACTATTCGGTATTCGGCCGAATAGTTGCGGTCAGGCCGAATAAGAATAGTGGTTACCTTACATCCGTTTCTGGACTGGTAGAAAATAAACATATCAAGATTTACCACATTGGTTCATACTGTCAATTGTTATCTTTGTGCACCACCTACCAGCGTACCAAGTAAACACTGTTTAGTACAGCTGGAAATACCTTCAGTGAGACAAGAAGCTGCCTTAATGCTGACAGCTAATGCCGCTTTCATGGATTAACTAAGCTGTCAGTGACAATTTACAAGCTTAGTTACTTCTTATAAAACTAAGAATACTTTCATTCCTATGTATTAGTTACCACAGACTGACTGAAGGATGCAAAACATTAAATGTTTTTAAATGTTTACTATTCTGTACTACATTTTGTGAAGTAAAATTTCAGCGTACATTTGACATTATGGATGTTTTCTTTTTAGATCTATTTTATACACAAAAATGGAAGAATGGGCCTCAGTTTGAATAGTGGGAAGACAGAAGTAATGGTGGTATCAAAGAAAATAATTATTCATAAATGTGTAAATAAAAGTCAATGGTTTTATTTTGGGACAAGTACAGAAATTTAAGTATCTGGGCACATGGATAACATCAGATGGAAGATGCATTACTGAAATAAGAAACAGAACAAGACAGACAAAAACTGTATTTTATAAAATGAAGAAGATCTTATGCAATATATCTTTGTCATTGAAGGTTAGAAAAAAATTCTTGCTTGCTACATTCATCCAGTTTTAACATATGTCCTGGACAATCGGTAGGCAGGCCAAACAATTTCTTGAGGCCTCAGAGATGTGGTTTTACAGAACAATATGGAACATGTGGTGACCACTGGAAAGATATGTGGAAAGAGGGATAGAGGAAGACAACGAGAGAAGATTCTTGACAGTCTTGTTGCATGGCATGGAGGTATGTCAGCACACAAACTAATATATGCAGCAGGAGATCGCAGATTGTGGCGAGGCATAATCGCCCATGCCAGTCGGCAAAGCACCTGATGATGATGATCCACTATTCGTATTCGGCCGAATAGTTGGGCTAGCTATTCCTATTCGGCCGAATATTGAAAATCACTATTCGGTACAGCCCTAGTTATTAATAATAACTGTTTAACACAGCATGCATCATGATATACACATTCTTCTTGACTTACGACCATCTGCATGTATGATCACACACACACACAAGACAAAGAAAAAAGACTATTTTAGTGGGGGTCAAAACGTTCCCAGAAATGATGCCAAAGAGTATATATTAGGATTTTTTTCCATATTACGTATTTCTCACATTTTTTTTCAATAATTATATATACACAGACTAATTTTTGTGTTTTATGTACAATTTTTATAACCCATAGGCAGGAAAGAGAGAGGGAACAAACAACCCATGAGCTACAAGTGACAGTAGACAAAGTGATAGACTGGTGTACAGAAATTAGTGCTGCGTCCACCCAGAAAAAGTGTCTTTTTTTGTGTGTGGTGCTCTCTAGACAACAAGATTGTTAGAGCTGAGGTCCCAGATCTCACGACAGATGGTAGAAATGTCAACAGAAAGAGCAAACTGAAGTATTTGGGAATCATATTTGACAGGTGCCTGTCCTTTAAAGACCATGTGGGGACGGTTGTGACAAGGTGCCAAAAAACTACTCAATGCACTTAAGACTATGGTTGCAATGGACCACGGCCTTCTCTATTAATTAGAGACGGGGTTGAAACGGATATAGAGCAGAGACTGCTTTTCACACTATATCAACACCTGATCCATTCAGTGACTGATTATGGACTAGGACTGCTTAACTGTCTCAAAGAGTCAGATGGTTAAACTAGAGCGCACACAGAGCGCTGATATGCGGGTCATTCTATGTTGTACCAGAGACACCCCACTGGTGTGTATGTGACACATCCTTGGTTTGCCATTTGTTGCAGGCAGGCTCAAGGTGTTGCAGGCGAAGTCATATCTCAGAGTAGCTGCAGACACAGATCACCCTTTGCACGAAACTCGGGATGCCGTTAAGTGTCAGCAGCTGAAAAGAGGAAAGTGATGGATGGCGCAGGCAGAAGACAGATGGGTTTGCATCCTGGCGAACATTAGGCAAGGAGAGGAGTGGGTAAAAGTGCCAACAGAACAGTCAGATTTGTGTAGAGTCATAATCATACTGAGCTGGGAGTGCAAAGTGCAATAGAGAATAGGCCCTCATCCAACTCAACAACAAGCTGTTCTATCCTTCACTATCACATGCAGCTCTCCCTATGTCTTCCCCATATTTTTAACTTCACTTTCTTTATATATATATATATATATATATATATATATATATATATATATATATATATATATATATATATATATATATATATATATATATATATATATATATATATATATATATATATATATATTTTTTTGGGTCTGTATTTCTATGCCCTGGGTGTTACAATGCAAAGACATTCTAGTGTTATTACTCCTAGGCCAGTGTAACTTTTAATGTGTCCTAGCTCTCACTTTCCACACTTTCTGTTAACACATTTTCATTTGCGATCATGAAAAGATATCAAACCAAATGAAAACCAGAACAGTCAGCTTCACATTATCACAGATACAAATGATAAGTGAACGCTGCAGCTAGAAAGCTCTCATCAGCACATTACATGAATATACAATACCACAAATACAAATAAGAATTTAACCCAAAAAAATCACTTAACTGAAGTACCTCATAATGAAATCACATATCTATCTGGCCAGTTAAATCTCTGATGCACAGGTAAACACCAGAAATATATACTAGCCAGAAACAGGTGTGAGTAGCAAGCGCTGTAACTAAAAAATATTAGATAAAACTGATGGAGGTTAAGTCTGCTAGGGGAATTGGAGTTCATCAGCTAGATAAAACAGTTCTCGAGAGACTTACGGACTCTGTCAATGGAGTGGCGAAATTTGAAGACCGTAACCTCCATGGCGAGAACACCTTGGTGACCCTGAGAACTGAAATGTGATGGCACTACTGGTCTGAGGGGACTGTTTTGCACTTCAGAAAGATATTGCCTGAATCTGTCGGCAATTCATAGCCCTGTTTCACTGATCTTTTGCAGATGATGGCACAAATAACATTGCAGCTTGTGCAATAGAATGCCTCAGGTATGTTAAAGGTAGCATTAGGGAATACCAGAATGTTCACCTGAATCGCATATGGACAAGCCTTGCATACAGGTCTGTAACAAGAGATAATGCCTAAGTGGGACTCTGAGGTAGGACATTTGCAGATCACTGTTACTTTGTCTGTCTTAGCTGTTACTTTCAATGCCTTTTGTTATTCACATATTTTTAGTTCCAGAAAACTTACTTTTTTGTCAGTCTGAGCTGTTATATTCACTGTTTTTGTTTTCTTAATCAAACACTCTCAGTCTCAAAAAGTGACCATTCTAATATTCACTGACTTTTTATTCTGTTATTATTATTCTATTTATACTTGTTATGGTGTCCACAGCTAATGCATGCTGGGAGTTATTTTTGGGTTGAGACATAAAAAATAAAGCCCAAGAAGCTGCTTCAAAGTTTACGGTAAGATTATTTTTTTTAAAGTTTTATATTTTACCAAGGATTAAACATACACAAAAATCCAAGAAGGAAAAACTAACTTTAAAATGCAAAAAGAAAATAAGACAAACCATATCTGATGTTATTCCACACAGACTTGACTTTTGTTTTCATATTTTCAGCTTCAAGTCGATGCTCAAAAGACAGCCTAAGCGATTCTAAATCACTCGAAGACTTAGGCTGTCTTTTCAATAGAGATGCACTAGCTATGCTTGGCTGAGATTTGTGCAGCCTTCCTGCCAATGTATCATGATGATAGGCCACATTACCATCTTGAGCGACATGACTTTCAAAGAGTTTTATGTTTGCATTCTGATGAGAAGCATGTCCTGCTGTTGGTAATGATAGGGATTTATTAGGTCGTTCTGCACCATCCCTGTGGTTTGGTAAGTTTTTAGCCTGGCGGTTTGAGAACTTCTGAAGATGAAAGAAAGGTCTCTGAGTCACTGGACGAAATGGTTTGGACTTATTGTTAGCTTTAATTGTATCAGAAGAAGCAGATGACGGCAATACTTGTGAAGCACTTTCTTGCAAGCTAAGATCTTGCAATGCCCCAAGATCTGGGTATAATCGAGTTGTCTGGTGTTCTGAAACATCTAAATTCTCCTTATGTGCTGTTTTATCTATATGTGTGTGCATATATGTGTCATTGGTATTAACAAAAGCAGAAGAAGGATCTCCGTCAACGGCATCAAGATGATCAAACATGACCACTGAGTTTGTGTCAGGTTCAGTTATAAATGCAGCTTGATTATAATTAACATGACCTGTGTTACTACTAGATGGCACAGAAGATTCAAATTCCTTTGAAGACACTGTTGACACAGTCTGCTGTTTATTGGAGCTCTGCGTTGTCTTTTTCTGAGTTTGTCCCACATGCAGCACCTTTCCAATCGCAGCTTTAGTTTTAGATCGGATATCTCGTTTTTGTCTGCCGTGAAAGGAAGAAGAAGAACCATGCTTAGAAGCAGAATGGTGTGAGACGGACTCCGACGATGAGGAAGTTGACAACGACAGGTTTTCCGACCAAGAATTCAGAGAATAGATATCGTCTGACAGTCGCCGATCAACGTCTTCAAGCTTTTGTGCACCCATGGTGTTGTTGTGCTTAACCGAAGCGCTGCGTCGGAAAACTCCAGCACTGCTAGGATTCATCTCAACTATCGATATTGATATTACCGTACTGTAGAAACACAAACACTGCTGACTTTGACACAACACAAATCGCCATCACAGCTTCCGCCATTTTGAAAAACAATCATGTGATTCGTGTTTGTCTATATAAAAATAGGACAACATTTCCCAGTGGAACAATTCGTTACCTTTAAACATTGGCGTGTGAAAGTTTAAAGACCACATATAAAAACAAGAGGGAGATAACAGCAATCTTTGGGTCATTGGAATATTTGATAAAGAAATTCGTAGATTCGTAATAATTCATAGGCGTTAACCAAGGAAGGTGCGCTACGTTAAGTGACACGATCTGAGAGCATGACATCAAAATGACTCAGTACCATGTTTAATTCATAATGCGCAAAACCAACAGTTGCTATGAGACCAGTGAAGGAATATCACGAGAAATAGACTCACTGATAGTGTGACCTAATGTGTATAGAGGTTGTATGATATATTCTTGATTTCTCCTGTTGGTCTGCCATCCAGACTGAGATAAGCCGGTGCAAGTGCCAGCGAGAGAGACAGACAGACAGAGAGAGAGAGAGAGAGAGAGAGAGAGAGAGAGAGAGAGAGAGAGAGAGAGAGAGAGAGAGAACGAACGAACGAACTTTATTTTCAAAGGGTTACAAATTAGGCACGCAGGCCTGTCTTACATTCGGCCCTTCCAAACTTTCATCTTTCACATAGCAGTTGTATTTCATCAATGAAGCATGTTATATTCATGTAATAATATGCATATTATATATATGAAGTCAAAAACAAAAGCATGGCTGGTAAAATATGTACGCACGCTCACGCGCGAACACACACACCCACATACGCACACAAGCCCAATGACTCACTTACACACAAACATATAGACACTAAGTACACACATACATCCACATACATACGAACATGCACACATACATACACACATACATACACACATACATACACACATACATACACACATACATACACACATAACATACACACACATACACACACATACACACACACACATACACACACATACACACACATACACACACATACACACATACAAACACACACACAAACACACACACATACACACACATACACACACACATACACACATACATACACACACATACACACACACATACACACACGCATTCACACACGCATACACACACGCATACACACACGCATACACACACATACACACACATACACACACACATACACACACACATACACACACATACACACACACACATACACACATAAACACACATATACACACACACGCACGCACGCACAGACACACACAGACACACACAGACACACACAGACACACACACAGACACACACACAGACACACACACAGACAGACAGACACAGACAGACAGACAGACAGACACAGACACAGACAGACAGACAGACACAGACAGACAGACAGACAGACAGACAGACAGACAGACAGACAGACAGAGAATGAGAGGGGCATAACAGTATTTGATTATAAGTGAAAAAGACATAACTATGCTTTTTATTTCTAGCAGTAGGCAATTGTACTTTTCATAGGCACAAGGTTTTCAGCGCTGCTGTAATAGACACTTTGCGGCGAGTGCGGGCATCTACTTTTCTTGAAAGGAAAAACCGCCCTATTTGGATTACTTTTTACAGCTAACTAAACACTTCGCAGAGCATGTCTTTTTTACACAAGTCTATTATCGGCCTCAACTCACAGCTACAGAAAGGAGATTCTGTCCAGTCCACATCTGCTAATGAAGGCTAAATCGCCGCAACGTCCTTTGTCTACTGTAATTGAGTCTGTTAAGCTGCAATATACTTCATGTTTTTCTCATGTTTTTAGACAGCCATAGTTTTAGAGCAGTCACCTCATGTTACTTGTTACTGTCTGTCTGTATCGACATCCTAGCACATCGGTCCCACCCATTAGTGCTCAGTCCTCCGTTACAACAGCCACCTCAGCGTCTCCATGCTCAACGTACCCAGTAGGAGCTGACTGGCATATCTGCATTCTTAACCCCGTACCCCATTTCTACATGACTGCCCTCGTTTAATACCCGTTACAGGGGGCTGCGTGGTCTCGGGGCATGGTTTCCGCCTCGAGTGCTAGAGGTTCCGGGTTCAATCCTCTGTAAGGGCTGGAATTTGTTTCACGTGGACTTGGACTTCTAGAATTCCCCCCCCCCCCCCCTGGTCTCTGGGTAGTGAGATCGGACTCCCGTGTGCATAGCTGCGCAGGTAAAAAAAAAAAAAAAAACCTTGTCGTTTGAAAATCTAAAAGAGTAGCCAAACGGCACTGCCAAAGCAAAATTTTGAGTTAAAAACCTACCCAAAGTATTTCAGGATCCTCGCCGGTGCCACAGAGCCTGTACACTGTTCTGAGCTTCTTTAGACTCAGACTTTAGCTAGAAGAAAAACGGAGCACTTATGGGTTACTACCCGTGTGCCATGATATTTAACCGTTGTTCGAACTTCAAAATTCATCTTCTTTCTTTACTTCGTACCCCTTTTCTACATAACTGTCCTCGTTTAGTACCCATTTCAGGGGGCTGGGTAGTCTCGAGGTATGCCATCCGCCTCGAGTGCTGTAGGTCTCGGGTTCAAACCCCGGTGAAGGCTATCGGTTTTTTTCACGTGGACTTTCTATAAATTGTCCCTGGTCTCCGGGTAGTTAGATCGGACTCCCGTGTGCATTGTTGCGACCGTTAAAAATACCTTGGCGGCTGGAGAGCGAAAAAGAGTAGCATCAGTTGTGTTGAGTTGAATCAAGAATTGATATCACAGCACTCGCGGCACTTGATGCCCTGTCCTCTTCTTCAGCAGCTAGCGCAGAGTTCCAATACTGATGGTACCGGTCACAATCTGGTTATATGTCCGGCTGACCTCTCCTCTGGGTGTAGTGAGCCGGCCAGACCCCGGGTTACACCCAGGTGCCTCATTCTCTTTAGACCATAATAATATTGTTTCTCTACTGATTTCGTTGGTTGTTTCCAGCAGGCCTTGACCACATCTGCCTTGTCATGTATCAATTCACCACCCAGTGGTGGAGATCCAGCCAATCTATCTGCCTGTTCATAACCCCCCCCCCCCCCACCCCAAAGCCAGCATGGCATGGAGAAAAGATCCAAAGTATGCTAACAACCCGTGACATTTCCAGTAAAGCTTGTCACTCTGCTCGAAGCATCCCTGTCTTCAGCATGCTTTCAGAGTCTTTTACAATTACGACATGTGTATGCATCTTGTTCTCTACTTACCGGAAAGATGCAATTACCGCCCCCACTTCAGTTCTCATGCTAGAGGTTGTAATGTCATATGCTAAGCTGTCTTGGACTAAAGATTGTCCATTGGCTTCCGCTACGAACCCCCAGACACTTCTCTTTTCTCTCAAAACCGAACCATCTGTATAGATAATAAGATCACCTGGGCGTGAATCGTGGTCAATCAACTGTTGGACTTCCACCTCTGTAGCACCCGCTGGCCACTCTCTGCACACCCGGCCCAGTATGATTATAACCCTACACAGGTCAGACTTTTCCGCTGGTACTCTACCCCACTCCTCTCTTCGCCCAGTGTTCTCCAGCATGCATGCATGTCTTATTGTTTCTTCTGCTTGAGCCATCCACGATTTTAATCTTTTCAGCCTCTGACTCTTGTCTGCAGCCAAAGCTTCATACAGAGGGTGTTCCCTGTCTGCAGCTACTCTGAAGTATGACTTGGCCTGCAGCACCTTTAGCCTATCTGCAATAGTCGGCAATGCAAGGATGTGGGTTACACCAGTGTGCCATGTTTATTGGTAATAAACCAATAAAGCAGACATCCATCATGTACTTTATTACTCAAGGAGTCATTTATATCATGTCCCCATCTTCGTGTTAGTCTGCCCCTGCCCCTCCTTCCTGGTATCATGCCTTCTGCTATTATTTTTTTCCAATCAGTCG